TAGAATTGTTAACACAACACTTATCTAACTCTTTATAAAAGACGTTTAACATGACACTTTTTCATGAAAGCAATCAATATTGCATATCATGGACAACTTTGATATGGAGACTTATGTTACTATTGGGTATCAGGATTTAGCTATTATTTTACAATCATCAAGTTGAAAAAAGCAGAAAAATGTAAACGTTTCATGACATTTTATACTTATAATGTAGTGGGTGATGCTGATCAGAATGGAAATAAGTAGTATATGTTGAGAGGGTGACAGTAATCATAGAGAATTACAAGCGATGGGTAAATATTCTGCCCAGAGAAACCCAACAGACAATATGGACGTATTAAGAGCAAATCAAGATGATAGAAGTAGATGAGGAAATGAAGCACATTGTGGAAATGAATGTTTTAGTGGAAAGTGTACCATATTTGATGACTACTGTAGTAAGTAGATGTCAATAATAAACATTCCTTCCTTCGTCTCTCTCCTGTCGTTTCCTGTAATACTTTTCATCAATAGCAAGCTTCTTCCAAGATTTGGATCGATTGATTTTCACATCTTTTTTTTCTTCATCTAGGCGTGATATTCTATCATGAGTATGTATATCTTCCTGGTGAACTATATAAAGTTTCATAATGATACATCGTATTCATCTGCTAGACGACATGAAGATGGGGATGAGAGAACAATGGATAAAGAGTTGTTCTATAAGCTAAGGTTATAGTTGACCAAGGTTTCAGTGTCATGCTAGACATCATCATCATCATAATCAGTGTATCAGAGCTTCTTTGTAAAGCATAAGATTGAAACGTTTGCCAACTGAAATGCTAGTGCAGAGAACAATTCACTGTGGATATACACACTGTGTGAGCTAAAATACAAAATATATTCGCTACAAGTTTTAGACAAATAGTTACATTATGCTTATCCTTTTAGCTGATGTCAGATGGTGAAAAAATTAGCAGTTAGTGATATCTAAGCTCTGTTGAATAATGTGATCTTTTTCAATCCAATTAAACATACTACAAATGAGTGATTCAGTGTAAAATTAATCATATTCACAAGAAGATATAAACTTCCGTTTCAAATCTTTCAAATAATGAATAAATTATTTTTCAATATCAGATTTTTATGAATTTTTTTCTCTTCATGATTTAAACAAAGTGTCATTAAAAAAACAGAAGGAAGAAAAACAATCATTTTTAAAACCATACCTAATAATGTAAACAAAAATGTTCAAAAACTTTGGATTAGTTCAGTTTTGATCTTTTCTTTAAGAGCAAATAAAAAATTTATTGGTAATTATACTTTTTATGCCTAATAATACGGTTTAAGAATATTCATTCTATTATTTATTTATGTCTAAATTTAATCTTTGTTTCACTATGCGCATATATATATATATATATATATATATATATATATTGCTAACACTCATCGCTTACTTGTCAGTTGGATCTTCTTTGTTTCCCTCTCTTAGTCTATGCTCTGCATATATCTAATTCAGTAAGCATTACAATTCTTTCCTACCTTATAATGACACTGATTTTCCTCCATCTTCCTTTTCCTTCTTCTGTATGTCAGTTGGTGTAATAATAATAATAATAATAATAGTAATAATAATAATTGTCGTTGTACTGACCATCATCCTCATAGAAGTACTGATAACAATAGTATTATTGTTATTATTATTATTATCGTTATCTCAGTGTAGGCAGAAACGAAGAGTAATCCTATATCTAGAATGTAACATTCCTTTTGGTTAGATTAGACCAGTTGTTAAAGGCAACAATCAAGTGTTACGCTTATTTATTCTGTCAACAGACAAATAGATTTAAGATATTTTTCTTTTCTTTCACGTTAATGTTAAAATAATGTGTTACACTTAATGTTGTAGAATTATCGACTTTTACACGATTACAATTATCATACTTTATAAAATGTATATTATCATTATTATTACGATTATGACTATCATTATTACTACTGGTTACTTATCTTCTACTTCTTGCCTCATTTATTCAATGGAGACAGTTATTACTGTTAGCTAACATAAGACAGATTCTAATGTCTTTGTATTTCATCCATTTGCATGAATACTGTCACAATAATAATAATAATAATAATGTTAGTAACAGTAAGTTATTGTTATTCCTGTTAGTGGACATGGATATGGATATCACACAAAGTGGATGAATGCAATATATCTTGTAATAAAAATAAGGTGATAAAATGAAAATAATTAATTTGCTGTCTGTCTAGATGATAAATATAAATAAAAAAGATTTTCATAGTATCCTCCCTAAGTGAATAAAATCTTAGTCTCTCACATATATGATATATTCAATGTGAAAAAAGTTTTTATGCAGATAACAATGTATTGGTTATTAAAAATTATTGTAAACAGTATTTTTTTACACTCATATTATCTATAATTTCATCATTAAATAGAAATAACAATAAAATAATAAGTATATGGGATATAAAGGTAGTATATTTACATTTTAAACTGTTAAAAGAAAAAAAAATAAGTAAGTAGGAAAGTGTTTAACACTATGCAGTTTGAACTTCATCATTACCTCATTAATCTATCTTGTTAAAATTATACTGTATTCACTTATATGTTCTCTTTCTTCTTTCTAATTTCATCTTAAGCGATTATATATACGAACAAATCACACTAATTTATTCAGATTAACGTCTACTATCACTTCATATTCCCATTATCCAACTAATAGAACAGCTTATTTATCACACCCCCTAACTATTAAGCATCAATGATACATCGAATGAATAAGCAACCTAAACTTTTCAAAAGTATATTCAATGAGTTCATTTGACCTTAGCCGTTTTACATTAAAAGAATTATTTTTCATTCTACAGATTATAATCACTTGAAGGATTTTAATTTGACACACAACAAAATCAATAGCAAATCACAAGGTGAAGCATACAGAAGTTGAATGTGTTCACCTATGACCCGAATTAGAAGGTTTGGAAGGAAGGAAAGGTACCTGCTAATCGAGTGAAAGAAGGGCTACCTTGTCAAAATCCCAAACAAGGGAGAGCTTAGTCTTTGCAAGAACTGGTGAAGAATCATGCTGCTGTCCAAACAAGCAAAATATTATGCCGCATCATGCTGGAGAGACTAAAGGATGCACTGGATTCAAAATTACAACTGGAACAGGCTGACTGGCTTCAGGAAGAACAAATCATGTGAGGATCAAATTTCAACGCTACGCATCATCATAGAACAGAGCATACAATGACAGTCATCTCCCTACCTCAACTTCATCAATTCTGAAAAGACCTTCAACAGCGTCGACCAAGAAGTAATTTGGAAACTGCTTCAACACTACGGTTTTAGTGCCACAAACCTTTACCAACCTCATTCAACAGCAGCTATATGGTGCTACATGACAAGTGATTTACAATAGAAAGCTCAGTGATGCCTTTGAAGTAAAGTGAAGACAGGAGTAAGACAAGGCCATCGCCTACTTACACCGATCATCTTCCTGATTGTGGTCGACTGTACTGGATTGGATCATGCAACAAATTGTGAAGAGCGAGAAGATGGGGATACGCTGTTTGACTAACGAAAAGACCGTAGAAAATTTGGATTTCGCCGATTATGATTTATGTCTAATGTCTTGTTGCACAAACTCGAAGATCTACAGGTGAAAACTAACAAGTTGATACAACAGGCAGCTAAAACGGGACTTCAAGTGAATGTAGAGAAGACGGAAGTGATGAAGATACCCAACCAGCAACAGCGTCAACAACAAAACGCACCAATCACCATGAACGCGAGAAACCTAAAGGAAGTAGTCTCTTTCAACTACCCAGCCAAACAACACAGCATCGTTTCAACTACAGGCGGCACAGACGAGAATGTCAAAACCAGGATCGGAAAAGGAAGACAGGCTTTCACTAATCTGAAATCATTGTGGAGATCTAGTGCACTCAGCACAAAGAACAAGATCCGGATTTTAAACACCAATATCAAGTCAGTACTGTTATATGGTTCAGAAAGTTGACGTGTCACGAAAAGCATTTCCAACAAACTGCAGATATACATTCATCAACAGCTGCCACCTATGCTCACTCGATACTGAAGATCAGATGGTTAGAATAATAAGAATAAGCAACAAGGAACTCTGGCAACGAACCAACCAAGAACCTATCGCCCGACAAATATACAGAAGAAAGTGGAAACGGATTGGACTGCCCATACACTGAGAAGACCATTCGGAGACATCATGCGCTACGCCACGCCCTAGAATGGAATCCAAAAGAGAAACGAAAAGTTGGTTGTTCGAAGGTGATATGGAGGAGATTGTGTGAGGAGGAAATGAAAGCTTGTGGGCAATCGTGGAGCCAGGTTGAAAAGACTGCAGAGAAGTGAGTGAAATGTAGGCGTGCTACTGAAGTCCTATGTTCCACTAGGAAACCAAGGGGAAAATAATAATAATATGCCCCGAATTGATATTGATAAACAGGGCAAAACAATATGTATGTATTCAGAAAAATGGTATTTTCAAACAGATGATACCTTAAAACGATTTTATTGAACTGGAATAACTCAACTAATACTTCTGATAGGTTTTTAGTTAATATATGGGGATTTGCTTTCGTTGAATTCCACTTTCAGTTCATAACAATCTTCTCAACTTCAAGTAGATAGTTGTAATATTAATCTCACTCGAGAGATTATCTAACTAACTGAGGTAATAAACACTGAAATTTTTATAAGGTGATAAAGTTTTGAAAATTTTCATAATATTTTGCCATTCTTTAAATGCCAAAAGCCTCTGAATTCATCACTAACTGTATGTTTTACTAATATAATAAACTGAATGATTGCAAGCAAAAAAAAATATCCATATATATACACTGTGATATAGAATAACATTGGCTTTAATTCATTTATACTGGACTTCATTTATATATTATGCTGTTTTCTAATTAATAATAATAATTTATCAAAAGAAATATACACTTACCATCACACAAAAATGCAGGTTCACCACCATTTGAGGTAGAGTCGGCAGGATTTAAATATGGGCAGACAGTTTCAACCTGAGTACACCAAGAAATACAGGGTTGTACAATTTCAAGTCGGAACACTGGATAAGAGACTGTATGAAATTCTGTAGGGGTAGAATGTTGATAAGTGCCCACATTTTCTGATGTTAATTGTATACTTGAAGGCACAGATAATGACGATGATGATCTATTTAAAGGTATAGGGTCATTTATCTGAAGAGTGGAGAGTTTGGAATTTTCAAATCGATCGGAAGTTTTTACATGAGGTTGATGTAAATTAACACCAGAACCTATTGATTTACGAAGTGAAGGTATATTCAGATCTAAATCATCCAATGGATAGTACAGAGGGAATTCTGTTGCACAAAACCAATTCTTATACGCTTCCTACAAGGGAAGAGAGAGAGGAAAATTCAAGAGTTATGCAACAAAAAAAGCACAACGCAAAGAGACGGCATGATTACTTCGTTTTATTGCATAAAGAGATTTCTAGTAATTATTACAAATTTGTGCAGACAAATAAAGTCAACGTGGAACCCTGCATAAATTGTATCCGTCTAAGCTGCAGCATTTCACAGAAGCAAAAAAGAAAATAACAAGTGGGTAGAAAAAGTATGATAATAAAGTAGTATTGGCAGGGGGGGGGGAGGAATTTGAAAAATGAAGCTTGGTGAAGACGTTCAAACTTTCGAAAGTGTCCAAGAGTGACTATATCTGCACCATTGTGACCGTTTTCAGCTAGTGCAGATAGATAAGGATCAACAAAACATTCTATCCTCTATGAGATTGCTTATTTTAACAGCAATTCTTATCATGACTCAGTGATCTAGTAGATAACGTTGAGGCGTTTGAAGGGATGGGTGATGAGTTCGAGTCCCGAAGGGAACATTACTACACCATGAGGTACAAGTACATCCAGCTAACGAACTCCAATTAGGACAAAAAGTGCATCCTGAATGCCACTGTTAGCCATGACCAAGTAAATTATAGCAGTGAATTTCCAGGTAATGTCGAGGCATCCAAATAGCTTGACGATAAGGAATTACACGTAACAATATATAAAACTTGGTTACTTTGACAAGGTTATTCGAAAGTTCTCCCGAATAGCTTAATTTCAACTATTTCAGGGAAATAGTGAAAATCAAATTATTGAAAGCAATTCTTTGATTACTTCACAAATAAGTTTGAAAGATAAGTTGTTATAATTACTTCACTTCAACTAATCTATGATTCAAATTACACAGACGTTGACCCGATCACAGGTGAATTTTCTCTAGATCTAGAATATGCAGATGACATAGTCAGTCCTGTTAGGTGAAGACACTGACAAGATGCAGAGTCTTCTGAACACTTTGAGTGGGAATTTGAGAATGTTTGGGATGCGATTTTCACCACCCAAATGCAAATTTTTGCTCCAGGACTGGTCTTCAGCGGTGCCCCACCGCGGCTAACAATAGAGAGTGAAGTGGTTGAGTGTGTTGACCACTTCATTTACCTGGGAAGTAGGATCAACCCTGGTGGGTTAGTTGCCGATGAGATTTCTGCACAGATACAAAAGGCTCGATTGGCTTTTGCCAATTTGCGCCACCTATGGCACCGCCGTGATATCCGTTTGTCTATTAAGGGTCGCGTGTACTGCACAGCAGTCTGGTCTGTTCTACTGTATGGCTGTGAAACATGGCCATTGAAAGTGGATGATACAAAAAGGCTTCAGGTGTTTGACCACCGTTGCCTTCGTAGTATAGGACGTATTCCGTGGTGTCACCATGTGAGTAAGGCAGAAGTTAAGTGTAGAGTTTTGGGGAGTAGAGGTAAGTCAGTCGACGAGGTTGTGAACCTTCATCGACTGAGATGGTTGGGACACGTACTACGTATGCCTAGTCCTCGATTGCCTCGTCACACAATGTTGGCTGAGGTGGGTCCAGGCTGGAAAAAGGCCCCAGGTGGCCAGACTAAAACATGGCACCAATGTATGAAGTCTCTGACTGTTGGTTTAAGCCATGTAGGGTGATGAAGACTAGGTGGTTGGGGTCCACGGGACAAGAAGAACCAGTGGTTGGAGACACTAGGTGATATGGCTCAGAACCGAAGTTAGTGGCGCAGATGTATACACACATTATCCTCATCTTAACAACGCTATACCGAATCTCACCATTTTGTCACTCCTCTTTCCTTTTTCTCGTACTTTATATTTCTTTTGACTGCATTCACTTATCTTCATCCTTCGCCTCACTACCTTTTTACTTGATGTGCTGATATGAGGTGTGGCAACTCGGACCGTTACGCAGTAATGCCTGGTCCTATGTTGATAATGATGATGATGATGAATCTATGATTCATGATTCAAGCAGTTTATATCATATCTCTACCTATAACTCGGAGTCATATTCAACTAAAACCTTGAACAAAGTTTAAATGAAACCGATATTATTGAAGGATCATAAAACTGTGATATACAGAAGCAAAATATACAAAGAAGATTTCTCAAGATATTGCAGAACTATCTACTTGAAACAAAGGGTCCATGTGATGGCAAGATCTTTTATGTAATTCTTTCCTCATTCCTATAGATAAATTTGACAGAATAACAGAAGAGAAAGGTTGAAAAAAACGTGGAAGTATGGGTCATTTCTTATTGAATATACTGAGAAATGAACAAAATAAGAGTCCTTATCAGATAACCTTCCCAAAAGTAACCATGTAAGCGAAAAGTGATGTTATATGTCTTTCCAACACCATAAGGTGAAAACAGATTGTACTGACTTGCATGTATAAAGCTCAGAACTAGCTTAACATAGTTTCTAGAGGATACTGTTAACCAATTACACGGATAAATTATAAATGTGAACTAAATACGGAAAAAGGTTCTGGTATAGCCTATTCCTGTAAAATTACAAATTGAACCAGTACAAAAGGAGAGAAAAAAGACAAACCAATCATATAAGTTCTATAAAATTGTCTAATTTCTTTGTTAATCAATAAGAAATTCGAATTGAGAAATTGTTCCTTTTGCAAATAAACTCATCACACAAAAATTTTCCTCCAATATTTTATTTTGAATTTTGGCAAGAGAAGAAAAAAAAAACAGAAACACAAAAAAATTGAGAATAAGCAAGAATAAAAATCGTGAAAATATATATGAATGCATGGATGAACGAGAAAATGAATGAATGGACTGTATTCTGACTGACATATTAAATAAATTTAAAATTAAGACAAAATGGGGAACACAATTTTTATTCTCCTTTTTTCTCCCTGAATGTCACAACTAAGCCACTCTAAATATATATATACACATAGTGAGATTATTCAAAAAATCGATAGTAATATCCCGGAAATTGTATGAAATTCCAGTAAAATAAAAAAAGAAAAGAGGAGCATAAGCCAGTGTTATCAAAATGTACTATTTTGAAATAGTGGAGAATATTTGTAGCTCAGGTGGATGGTCTTGGTTGTATTGTGTTCTCTGAGCTGGATTGTTTAATCGTAAAGCTTTCATCCTCTTTCTGGACGACATCATCCGCAGCACTAACTTCAGTATGAGGTGAGCTGTCAATATCTCTCCGTGAGTGATTTAGTACCTTGCCTTGACGAAATGGTCTGTGATTGGTTGTTTCCTTTGATTGTTATGTCATTGACTGTATAGATTTTCCTGTTGGCTGTCCCTCTGCTTGACCTTTGACCTTTCTGTCGTTTATCATCTTTCGTATTGGTTGATAGATTGGGTCTATATCTATACATCTGTTGATTGCTGACTGACCGACCTGAATGCCAAGCTTCTAGGAATTCCCTGATATTTTTTGCGTTTCCTCTGTCCAAAATTTCTACATTGTCGAAATTTAATTCATGTTCATAATTATCCACATACATTGAAATGAGTGATGGAATGTCCTGACGTTTAATAGTCAGTCGGTGTTCATGTAGACGAACGCGAAGAGGGTGACCACTTTGTCCAATGTAATATTAACTACAGTTATTGCAGTTGATTTTGTAAATGATATTCGGTTTGTCTTCTTTGTTTGTTGCATCCTTTGATCTGCATAGTAGTGTTTGCAGGGAATTTGTTGGTTGATGAGTAGCCACACCAATTCCAAGTGGTTTCAGTAATCTTGTCGTGATTTCTGATATATTCTTTATGTATGGTAGGATGATGTGTTTATTGATTTCTGTCGATGACTTTGTAGTTGATGATGTACGGGATAGGCATCTTCTGATAGTTTCGTGGGCAGCCGTTCTTCTTTAGGGTGGACATCAAGTATTTTTCTTCTTTTCTTCGTGAAGTTTTTATACTGAAGTGTGTTCTTGCTCTTTTGAATAGAGTCTGTAAGCAACTAATTTTGTGCGTTTTTGGGTTGTTGCTACTGTAGTTGAGGATTTGGTCAGTGTGTGTTGGCTTCCTGTACACCTGGGTTTCCAGCTTTCTGGCATTTATTCTACTGACTAGAACATCCAGGAATGGTAGTTGGTTGTTTGACTCCTTCTCCATCGTGAATTTGGTGTCACTGAAAACGTTGTTGATCAGACTGTGAATGTTTTGTACATCACCTTTTTTAATGATGATAAAAATGTCATTCACATAGCAAATCCAGAATTTTGGTTTGATCACAGGTAGGGTGATGGCTTCCAGTCTCTGAACCACTGCTTCCGAAATTAAAGTCCGGATATCGGTGATCCCATTGGAGTACTAATTATTTATGTCTTGAAAGAAAAATGTAGCGAAACATATGTACTTGATAATAGTTTTCAAAAGAGGCACCAGAGGATTTTGACAAACATTTCACAGATTCTTTCCTTAATTACCACAAGAATGCGCTAGTCATCAAATATTGGATCACAATTAATATTCGAGTGACTATGATTCGACACATAGTTGACAACTACTACTGTGAAGATTTGTTATCAGAATGATAGATAAAAACAGATTCATTCCTAGTTACTGGGCTATGAGTCAAAAGTCATGAATGAGGGTCAACAATGTTACATGGCTGGCTAAACAGAAATAGACAGTAGATTTGAACGCTATAGCTGTGTCAAGAAATTAGATCACTTAAAACACCACTACTTCATTCCCATCATAGTGAAATAATGACAAGGTACCAAACCTAAAAGATTGGTCCATAACAAGCACTTCCTATATAATTATATTTCGCAATGATTAATATTTCTAAGTATACAGTAAAATTCCAGGTTGGTCTTTATCATAGACTGACACCAGTTGGAGAAACATTGGAAACTCGGAGCACTGGACAGCTTTTTCCTTCCAGTATAGGACTCCTCGGTAATGCGCAAGTATGGCCCTACCTCCTCAGGGATCTAACCCAGGATCTTCATGTTCCGCGGTCAGCACGTTACCATTGAGCTACTGAGTCACAATCTCGTGGTCCAAT